GAAATTATTTATATTTGCAGAGGAAGAAAAGAACCAGTGATTTTGATCACGTAACATGGTTGCCGGCTTGCAGCGCTATAAAGCACTAAGTTAATTACCTTAATTAAACTTAAACCAGCTTTTCCATTTTAATTTGGGCTCTTTACAGTCTGTAAAGATTTAATTTGTTAATATGGTAATATTTTAAAAAGTGATTAATAAAATAATATCAAAATTTTTAAAGAAATAAGTTCAAAAATTGTTTACCACGGATCGACGTGGTGTATGCCAACCATGCTTTCTTCTCCGAGAAACTGTGGTTGACGGCCATCGCTACTAATACTTCCCGCCACCAGCACCGCCGCCGCCGCCGCTGCTGCGAGCTGAACCACTGCTCTAAAAAGCTTACTCAGCCATTTCATAAAGCGAGACTCTCTCTGCGTGTGAAGAAACAAAGTCCCGCTTACCATAAAACATTGAATCCAATTAACCCCCCCCACCCCACCAAGCAAAAAATTTATCTCAATATATAATCAAAGTTCTCCAAAATCAAGTATTATTTAAATAACTACAATCTTTAAATATTATCATTACTTATAAGTACTTAAACATTTACATTATCATTATCAACATATTAAAAATTAGCCTATGTTACATTATGCGACATATATAAATATACGCTTTTTTTTTTTTTTTTTTTTTTTTTTGTTACCAAAAGTGTCCGAGCCAGCTTACGTCACCTCAACTAGTCATCAACCCTGAACAAGACTCCGAAACAAGGCAACTACTAGTCTATGACTAACAAATTAATAACCGTTTGTTATTTGAACCTAAAACTTTTTTTTTTTTTTTTTGTTACCAGGGGTGTCCAGGCTAGTTTACACTCACCTTGACTAGTCCCCGATCCTAAACAATTTTCAAAATAGGGTAAGTCCTATGGTCGTAATCAATAATATTAACAATTGTTCTTGTGATTCGAACCTAAGACTATAAGGGGAACAAATCCCTTGGCCCAAGTCTTCACCATTGGCCAACCCATTGTGGTTTTATGCTTGATATTTGAACATGCATATAATATTATACGATATATAAATATAATAATTCCAAATTCAATGAAACCTATATGTGTGGAACTACATGTAGAGTATGGTTGACAGATGAAGAAGGAGGAGCCATGAAGGTACGTGGAATGAGAGGTATTATAGGTTTCGCCGGAATACAGAAACGAAAACGATAGAAAGATAGAGACAGAGAGGGAATGAATGGAAATGAGTGGAGAGAAAGAGAGAGAGAGAAGAGAACAATGCAATAGGCATCGTTAAATGAGGGAGTTGAAAAAAGCAAGAGAGAGGAATCAACAGGAGAGAAAGGAAGTGAAGAGAAAGAGATTCTTGGCTTGAGAAAGGAAGGAAGAGAAAGTAGAAAAGAGGGAAAAAGAACGAAAACGATCACCACACACACAACAAACAAAGAAAGTTAATGTGGGCAGAGAATCTGCTGAGATGGAGAGGTTTATATTAAAGTAACCTGGGACGGCTGGTCATATTCTAAAGAAATTTTCAAAACACCCCATCACCAATCGGCTTCAGTATCGAGCTGGATAGAATTTTCACGTCCCCTTTAATCGGCGAGTAAAAGAGAAAGAGGGGGGTCGAGATTATTTCAAATGATCAAAATATTCTCTTAAATTACAAGCCAACAGTGAGATTTTGCAACAAGAGGACTGTGTATAGGATTCTTGCAAAGTCAAAATACTTGACCTGTGGACAATGGATTTTCCTTTTTGATACCAATACAAATTTTATTAAGTTTCGGATTCACATATATATATTTTCATGGAAAGTCTATCGTTGAATTATGCTCCAGGTTTATTCTCTTTTTGCTGAGTGCATGGAACATGATTATTGGGAGAGAGACAAGAATTTCTCATTGGAATAAATTGGTAAAGTGATCAAGATGTGATCATAAAGTGTCCTGCATGATGGTGATCAGTGAGTAAACTTGAGGTTCCAAACTTTCCAAAAGGTTTATATGCGTTTAAGTTTACATAAAACATTCACTTGATCTTTCATCTTCTTAATTAACAGACCAAAAGCTTCAAGCAAACTCTACACATATAGCTTTCATTAAGCTGACAGATTTCTCCAGAATAATAACATGTTTTAAAAATTCTCTTGTGGAAGACAGAATAAAGTGCTGCATTAATTTTAGACATTAAAGGAGGAAAACTTGAGATCTGAATTAAAGAAGTTCACCATTTTCAGAACTATAAAAAGCTTTATTTTCATTTTCCCAGTAATTAACTCTGATCTATCTGTACCATCTAAAGGGGGAACTATACCTAAACACAGGAAGCTCCAACTTTCAAGAATAAAGCCACACATTTTTTTTTTTTTTTTTTTTTATACCAATATAATAACACCAGCTTGGCAGCCTTAAACCCATATCTAATCTTAAATTCTACATTTATTGCGTTGAAAAAAGATAGGTTGTTGGTTGGCTTAGAATATGGAAAGCAGCTACAATGAGCAAGACGAGATGAAAGTGGAAATATTCCTTTGCGTGTTGCTAATATTATCCGCCGTTGCTTTCGAAAAGCAAGGTTACATCAGTTGGTGCTTTAATAAACAGTTCTTTTTTTTTTTTGTTTTTTATCTGTGGATTGAGTGAGAGTCAGTTCCTTCTTTCCATTTAATCTTTTTAGTCAGACACGATCATCATGGTCTTTTAACTTCAGATTTAGATGCCTTTTAAGCGATCCAGAATACATTCTTTCACAAAATTTCCATATCCACCACATAATTATTTAATTTCTTCTGCTAATTATGTTTTCTGAAACAGTTCGTTTCTGACAAATGGAAACCATTAAAGAAAAATGTTCCATATCTGCATGAATCCATCAACCATATAAACAGATTGTCAAAGATAAAAAAGAACCCACCTATAAAGATTCTATAACGAATATCTTATATCTTTTTTTTTTTTTTTTTTTTTTTCAACCTTCGGGACCAACTTGTACATACTTCAACAAATATCTTAGGGTTTGAGATTGACCATCAAGTAAATCTCTCAATCGTCACCCTTATTAGGGCCTAGGGAACTCGAAGTCAAGAGTTGTGAAACATCTTTTGTTCTTTATCATTAAGCACCTAATAGTGGTTTCAAGCCACCCAATGGTGGTTAATACCTAATATCGGACTTGTTAATTTACGAGTATTCTGGTTTTATTTTTTAGCCATGCATTTTTCAGGATAAAACCAAGACATTACACTTTCTCTTATGATGACACATACACTTAATTAAATCTCAAAGAACCTTACATTAACTAGAGATTTCCCTTTTCGGATATTTTCTTTTTTTCTACATGGGAAGGTGAGATTAAGAAGTTAATAATACTATATTTACAAAGATTTTCATATAAAGTGAGGTGGCAAAAAATGAATGAAAGGGTTTCACTCTCTTCCATTCATTTTTTGTCACATCACTTTATATGGAAATATTTGTAAAATTTATTTGTAAGTGTAGTATTACTCTTAACAAGCAAGCATCATGATTGAAATCTAGATGAGTAATGCCACATTTACACCACTCTTTTATACCATTTTTATTACATCATGATGTGGCATATGCCACAACCACACAAATTTTATTATAATATTAAAATAATTAAAAATTTGTGTGATTGTGACATATGACACATCATAATGTAATGAAAATGATGTAAAAATGTGATGTAAATGTAGGATTACTCAATCTAGATAGACAATAATGTAAGAAATTCTAATCAAACTAAGATTCCTAATACTGAAACTCTTCCATTCATTTTTTGCCACCTCACTTTGTATGAAAATCTTTGTAAAATTTCTTTGTAAGTGTAGTATTACTCTTAAAAAGCAAACATCTGGATCGAAATCTAGATAGAAAATAATGTAAGAAATTCTAATCAAACTAAGAATCCTAATACTAACACTCATCTACTTAGATAACACTAATCTAAATAGAATAACTAAACATGCTTGGTTTAATTCCTAACAAATATAAAGGTTTATCACTAATATTATCTCTAATCTTAGCCAACAAAAATAAAGCATATCTTGTTTTACAGTTAAATGCATACATATCTTGTACTTGCTTATTTGATAGCTAAGTACTGAAAAAAAATAAAGCATTAATTAAGCATGCAACTAATTAAATAAAGTTCTCTTTTGTTTAAGTCGTAATACCAATTACATTTTTTTTTTTTTTTTCAACTGAGGTGTTTAGTCAATTTTCGTGTACATCAACTAATTTTCAAAAAAAATTATCTTACAACAATCCACCGACACTCCCTCCAGATAGCTAATGGACAAATGTAATACGTTTGCGTCTAACGGAGAATTGAACCTAGTACGGTAGGTAATTACATTCTTATGATCATTCGTTTTAGAATTTTCTTTACTTGGAAACTAAAATTAACGACACAAGTGTCAAATAAACATAAAGTTTTGTCACTAAGTAGATGGATTAGATGAGGTGAGATGTCAAATTATCACTATATTATAAATATAATTAAGGGCTAATCTGATTCTCATTCATTTTTCTTCAAGTTTAATTAAAATATATATGTCTCGTTGATTAAGTTTTTAGTCAATAACTTCTTCTCGTGGGAATGATTTTTGAAATTTTTATAATTAATTTTAGAATTTCAGAGTAAAATTTGGACTAATTTTTTTTTTTTTTTTTTAATAATCAAGGTGTTCAAGAATTTAGAGTTTGGACTAACTTAAGTCAACACTTAGAATAACTATCTGTTGAAAAATTTTGAGATAGAAATTAAAATACTAAATAATATTGTATTATGATCCAGTTTGCTGATTACTAATTTACTTCAATGATTCAAAATATAAAAAATTATTTATTTTCAATATTATCTATCCAAATAAGGAATTGGGTCCATGGGCAATGGATCGGTCACTTTAAGATGGGCTTTGTTTGCTCAACGGAAACGACGTCGCTTCAAATACCCCATTCCCACTCTCAACTGGAAGAAAGAAAAAATATCTTTATAGGCAGCTCCGTCGCATTGGAGTTGCAGGCTTGCAGCCATCTCCATCTTCTATATTTTAAACAATAAACCTTCTCTCAGAGAATTAAAAAATTATTTTCAATTTCTCTCTCTTTTCCCCCCTCTTTTTTTCCAAGAAAATATTATATATTTATTCTTTTTTTAACTTTAATTTGTATTAGTCATTACCCCACCAACACAAAAAACACAGCAACGCCAAAAGCTATACAAAACTTTGAACTAAAAAATCTCTCTTTGTGATCATCATCATTATTTAATCACGGCCCTTTGAAGGAGGATCTGATGGCAGCACAAGGGCAAGCAACCATGGACCCTAACGTTCTGGATGACATAATCAATCGGCTCACGGAGGTCCGATTAGCCCGACCCGGCAAGCAGGTCCAGCTCTCAGAGACCGAGATCAAACATCTTTGTGTTGCCTCTAGAGACATCTTTATTCGACAACCTAACTTGCTTGAACTTGAAGCCCCGATGAAGATTTGCGGTAATCTGTTTAAACAAATTAAAAAAGTTTCAATTCTTATTTCTTTTTGCTGCTTTTTTCTTAAGTGGGTGTGTTGGTTTTGTTTTAATATTATCGCATTGGTGTTTGATATGGACTTATTGTGTTATAGTGGAATCGTAATTTGTTAGCATAATGGGTACTTTTTTTAAGGAAAGAAAAAAAAGAATTGACTCTATGAAGGGTAGGGATTTTGTAGACAAGTAATATAGCCTACATTGTTATATAATGCACTATGGATATGGTTAGGGTTTTCGTTTTCAGCTGAATGAGCCATGTGTTAGTGGGATATTGTTGTTTTTTGTATTTTTAGTTTTAATGTTAACTTGTGATTTAATATTCTTGAATCTTTCTATGTGCACTGTTTGATTTGTGAGAGACACCGAATGATTTGGAGCTGAAAATCTTGGAATCATAAGCATTTAGTACAAATATGTGCTTTTGGTGTAGATAACTAAGATTGTGTAGATAAAAGTTGTAAATTTGGGTGTGGTGGAATGGGGTTTTTGATGATCTGATAAGTTCTTATGAAGTTAGGGGATATTGATATGCTCTACTAGTGAGTAATTGTACCAACAATCATTTTCATTTATTTTTGCTTGGACTCTCGCGAGTGTTGGGTGCAAGACAATCTCTATTTCAAGTTTCAAATCTGTTAGTTGTAAGAATACCATCCAACAAATTGAATTTTAGTAGACATGTCAGTTAGCCCCAGATTATATTGATAATTCATAACTATATACAGGTTATGTGGCTTATTTGATTGTCCCTGATATTTCTTTCAAAATCTGCAGGTGACATACATGGGCAATACAGTGACTTATTGAGGCTTTTTGAATACGGAGGCTTTCCTCCTAAAGCCAATTATTTGTTTTTAGGGGACTATGTGGATCGTGGCAAGCAGAGTTTGGAAACAATATGTCTTTTGCTTGCATATAAGATTAAGTATCCGGAGAACTTTTTTCTTCTACGAGGAAACCATGAATGTGCTTCTATTAATAGGATATATGGATTTTACGATGAGTGCAAACGGCGGTTTAATGTGAGACTTTGGAAAGCCTTTACTGACTGTTTCAACTGCCTTCCTGTGGCGGCTCTTATAGATGAAAAAATATTGTGCATGCATGGTGGTCTTTCTCCTGACCTGTCAAACTTGGATCAAATTAGAAACCTTACTCGTCCTACTGCTGTTCCTGACAATGGTTTACTTTGTGATTTGCTCTGGTCGGATCCTGGAAGAGATGTTCAGGGATGGGGAATGAACGACAGAGGAGTTTCATACACCTTCGGAGCTGACAAGGTGTCAGAATTCTTGAAAAAGCATGATTTGGACCTGGTCTGTCGTGCACATCAGGTGGTTGGCTTTTCCACTCATTCTTTTCAGTTTCTTTTTGGGTAAAAAGGTTGCATTGCCTTATGCTAATTATTTTTTCTTATTATAGGTTGTGGAGGATGGATACGAATTCTTTGCCGACAGGCAACTTGTTACCATATTTTCAGCTCCTAACTATTGTGGTGAGTTTGATAATGCTGGTGCAATGATGAGTATTGATGAAGAATTGGTGTGTTCTTTCCAGATTCTTAAGCCAGCCGAGAAAAAAGCTAAGTTCTTGATGTCAACAAAAATGTGATGTTTGGTAGCTTCTCAGGCTTAACCAAGGTTAGCTGAACATTTCTAATTATTGCATTTGTTCCTTTATCTTATTTTTGATGTAGTTGATCATGGGTTAATACATTTCTTATTAAGTTAGTTCCAGTGGTTGCTCATACTTTCGTATGGGTTAATCTCATAGCCCTGCTTTTTTGTATCAGTATTGGCATTTACTCTTTCTTATTAGTGGGGTGGAAGGAGGAATTTGGAATTATTAATTTTTTTTAAGTTGATTACTTGATTTCTATCTGAAGTAATGATATCAGTTTCCGTGTGTAATGCCTTCCTGAAAGCACATACTGAAGTAGAAATGCAGATAGGAACTTGGAGAAATCATGTATCATCATCTCCTTAATTTCAATATATTGTCTGATTAACATCATTGTATCACAGTTGGCACTTCAGTTAAAAATTATAATGATACTCTAATATATTACTTTCTTCTATGAAAATGCAAATTTAGTTAAATAAAACAGATTACTTGAATGACTCATTTTTGCTCAAAGTACCACATTTCGCTCTTGATTTGTTCTAGGTGCCTCATTTATTTCAAGATTTTGAGGAGGATCATGATTTAATGTTAATGAGAATGTATGGCTTTCTTTAGCTCATAAATTTGATGCTAATTAATCCCTCAGTGCTTCTAACTGCCGGTTCTTCTCTTTTGCATGGAAAAAGAGTTGAAAGTAAAGAATACCAGCTTCTGAACATAACACTTGAGAGTTGAGGGGAGGTACGTGGATGTGGTGCTTGGCTTTATAGGCAGGGAAATCATCTACAACTCCAGCAACAAATGCTTTTTGTATGGGTGGGGCAGGGGAGGGTGGGTTGTGTAGAAGCCAAGAAACTTTTAACGTTTATTTTTTCTCCCTTCATTATGGTAGTAAACTTATTTGCAGTGCTTGTATATATAAAATCTAAAGATGGCAGCATTTGCCTCCTCAAGAAACTTTAGCTATTCAAGACATCTTCAATAGTACATTGACCTGTTTGTATCTATTAGTTTACGACATTTTCAGATGTATAGTCGATTGCATATTTTGTTTCCATGATGGTAATTCTTTGAGTCCGCGAAGTGAACGGCGACCTCAGAAGTTGGGATTATAGGCATGACAATCATAAGCCTTGGATGCCAAATTGAAATCCAGATGCTTTGGACATTTCCATTTTGTCTGTTTGCTGCTACTGAATCTAAGTCGGCCAACAGGCCAGAGGTTCAAAAGTTCTCAAGTGATGTCTTCTAAGCTTCTTTTGTTGCATTTGTTCTGCATTTTCCAAAAATTTTCAATTATATTCTTTGATAGAACAGTGTCACATCTTTGGCCAAATAACTCCAAAGAGACATGACGAATTGCCTTTCACCATTAAATATTTAATGTTGATCAAACTGACCAACACAGTGCCGTATTGCTCTACGTCATTGTCCAAATTTTGGCTATGAAGCACAAAATTTCTGAAAATATTGTGCCTTTTCGGCTATTGGTTTGGCGAAGTTGTTTCATGGTGGTAGACCGTTAAACAGAATAAATAATTTTTCATGAGCCTCCATCGAAGTTTAACCCGATTTCCCTTCGGAGCTTACTAAAGTGCTATCAAAGGGACTTGATCTGATCTCTAAATTGATTATGAGATAGTTAATTTTGAGAATATAAAGTTTAATCTCTAATGAAAATTATAAAATTTCTAAAATAGTGAACAAAATAATAATTTTGAAGGAGGAGTATATAAAGGAGAGTGGTGAAGGGCTCATAATTAAAAGGCGCCCACATTGATTGCCTCTTTAGTCTTTACTCAACTCAATTTAAATTTTTTGGCTCTCTTTCTCTCTCTTTCAGGTAGGGTTTTGTTTCCATTTTTAGATAAGCAAAAAAATTACGAAACGAAATAGAATTATTTGTCAAATACCTATTTCTGTTCAAAATTTCCAATCCTACTAATTTCCGAGAAAATTTTGTAAATATTTCTCTAAAAAACGATGAACTTAGCGGATCCATCAATGGCACTGCTAGCGGCGAGCGGCGGCGACACTGTCAAGCTCTTCGATGTATCGCTTGAGCCCGGCGATCCCTTCATTTTCAGTTACACGCCCTCTCCTGGTTGCCTTGTCAACTCTGTCAACTGGAACCACACCAGTGAGTCACTTACTCGCCTTTGATTTCGCTTCCGGATTACATTTCTTACAAATAATAATATAGTCAGATTTAGAGGTTTGCGCGTTTAGCTTTAGCTAAATTTCGCGAGTTTATTTTATTACTATGTCGTTTTGAGTCGAATTTACATTCCTTTTTTTTTTTTTTTTTAATTGAACTCAATGGAGCATATACTAGTATATTAGACTTATACTAGTAATGTTTTAGGATTTCAATCTAAGTATGATATTTGGATTAGTTTCTATATTCGTGATTTTAAATGGAGGACTAGCTTTTTTTAGTTTATTATTGTTATTTAATTTTAATTGGGGAATGATTCTTGCAGATTTAGTTGTTGCAAGTGCTGGAGAGGATAAGAAGATATCGTTGTGGAGGAAAAATGGGCAGAGCATGGGGACAATTCCTGTCTCTGGGACTGATAGTGGAGACAATATTGAGGTAATCGACTTTTAGGTTGGATGTGCTTTTGATCTTGATGCTTAACTAGGATCTACTAGACTTGTTATTCACAAATTGGATATCTTCATTTCTCACTTCTAGAAGAACCAAAGTTGACACTGGAGGGTTTTATATTTATACTTCTACTTGCAAATATTTTGTTTATTCAAACAGAAAACAAAATATGACCCAATATTATGTAATGCTCCTGGATTTGGAACGACCATTGAATTTTTATTTTTTGATTTCCTTAAATTTATCTTCCATTAGCTGCCAGTTTAAGCTTTTCATGATACATTGATGAATCAATTTATTGCTGTATTCTTTTTTTTAAATTTCCAGGAATCTATATTAGCTATTAGCTTTAGCAACAAGGGATCCAGATATATTTGTTCTGGTGGAAGCAGTCAAGTTGTAAGAATATGGGATTTGCAGCGGAAACGTTGCATCAAGTGGTTGAAGGGCCATAATAATACTATAACAGGAGTGATGTACAATTGCAAAGATGAGCACTTGGCTTCTATCAGTCTAAGTGGGGATCTTATTCTTCATAACCTTGCTTCTGGAGCAAGGGCTGCTGAATTAAAGGACCCTAATGAACAGGTTGTTTAGCTTCTTGCAGCTGGGTTCCTTTTTTATCTGGTGTTTGTGATTTAGTCTCTGGTTTCCAAGCTAATTTTTTGTCTGATGATTTTAAGGCCAGGTACTGAGGGTGCTTGATTATTCACGGATTAGTCGACACCTTTTGGTGACTGCAGGTGATGATGGGACTGTGAATTTGTGGGATACAACTGGCCGTAGCCCAAAGGTTTGCTATGTTACTTTCTTATTGGATTGGATAACAAGTGATACATTGGAAATTCGTTATGGTTAATAAGTTGTATGCTTCAGAAGGATATCATGTCTAAACTTAAACAATGTTGGAGCTACTTTCATCAAAAAAGAAAAAAGAAAAATCCCAACTACTGTGCTGGAAAATTCTTCTTGATACTGTGCCTTTACTGATTAAAGAATGGCAATTTTAGTTGATTGGAGATTGTGCTGTATGGAAATATTAAATATATAATAAAGAACATCTAGAGGCAAAAGAAATACATTTTATTCTTTTTGGAACTAGCAATTAAATAGAATATATTGATCTTCTGATGCTGAATTAGGTGGCCTGTTGATTTGGAAGAATTCTCATGTGGCCACCAGCTTTCCTGAAATAAGGGGAGATTCATTGTTTAATGCTCACGGATCCATCCAATGCAGACTATAGTCAAGTCGTCAATATATATTTATGCTTTCCTTTTCTTCTATTCATCCCATTTGGCTTTGATCAAATCATGGTCAAAAAATGGGGTGGCTATAAATTGGAGGTTAAAAGGATAGCTTTGAGCTCACTTCTGCTTTTTATTTTTTATTTTTTAAATGGTGGCATGACTTTTTTGTTTACTGATACTGAGTATTCATTAGATTCTTGTTTCAGCAGTGCTATATTTTTATTTCAGGTAGTAAAAGACAATTTATGTAATAATGATCACATTTCTGTTTGCAGGCTTCTTGGCTGAAACAGCATTCTGCTCCAACTGCTGGGATTAGCTTCTCACCATCTACTGATAAGGTCTTGTCTTATTTTATTTGTTTGGCCTATTTGACATTAACTATTGCAGAGATACAATTTTTTTTGCAAACTTTGGAACTGTAAATCATTTTTGGGGTCAGAACTCAGTTAAATTAAAAAAATATACTAATTTCTCAAATGTTCTCCTTGCAACAGATAATTGCTAGTGTTGGGCTGGATAAAAAGCTATACACTTATGACTCAGGGTCTAGAAGACCATCGTCTTGCATTACTTATGAGGCACCTTTCTCTTCATTGGCCTTTAGAGATGATGGTTTGGTACTGGCAGCTGGAACTAGTAATGGTCGAGTGGTGTTCTATGATATTCGTAGCAAACCACAGCCTTTTACCGTTCTTCGCGCTTATGGTGTTTCAGAGGTAGGCTTCTTTCCTATATATGTTCTAACTAAAGCCGTAAAATTGGGAAATGGATCTCTATTCAGTTGTTTGCATTGGCTTGCAAGATGTCATTCATAATCACTTTAAACTTGTGTGTATGATTTAAGTGCATAAGTTATGTGTATGGGCAATGTTGCTCAAATTCTTCTTTTGTAAACTAAAGTTTGCTCTTACCTTGGTGAATGTATGAATTGTAGATTTTCTTCTTTCTTGTTGTACATCAACATTTTGATTGTTGGTGTTGAATCCTTCCTTATCATTGACAAGCAGTAATGCCTTCTAAGTCATTTTGGTTATGCAGAGAGTTGAATCCTCTTGTGTGAGTCAAAAGTAACAAGATGAGTAGAACTAAATTGTATGTACTGACTCATCACAGTGCAATGCTTCTCTCTAAGAGATTCATGTTTTTCATTTTTCATTTCTATGCATTCTTTCCTTAATATGTATTAAAAATGAGGAACCAAAAAAAAAAAGGTAATCAAAAGAAAAAGATAAAGAAACATAACTAAAGCATAATATGTTTTAAAAATGTTATTAAAATGTTATCTCATGGATGATTTTCAATAAGTTTAAGAATGTTATTAATATCATCATAGACAATCAGTGGTGGGGAGTTTATTCCTTGGGAGAGAAAGCAAGAAAGGGGAGAAGTCATAGAATAATAGAAATGGGAGAAAATTAGAAGAATCAAGGAAGCGAGATAGACCCCCTATAGGAGAAAGAGAAGAAACTGTGGGAGAAATCTTTATTTACAATTCATATTTTCAAGTCATCCAACAATAATGACTTTGGCCTTTATTTATAGAGCCAAATCATAAATAAAATAAGGAAACAAATAACCAGTAGATAAAATAAATCTATTGGAGGATATAAAATCTTCGAAGTAAGATCAATCCAAACAAGGAAGTCTTCTTTTATTTAAACTAGGAAAGAAAATAAAAACAAATCCTAGAGATTGCAATAAGTCCCTAATATCTCTAGGTCGTCCTACATCTCATGGTTAACCAAAGATCCAGGTTACTGATGTAATTATTGTTGCTTGTTGAGTTTGTAATCTCTGTTAATACTAATTATTTGCAGTATTTATCAGGCTGTTTCTAGTTTATGCTGGCAAAGATCAAAGCCGGTTATTGTTAATGAGAGCACTTGTACCACCGAGACTGCTCTTTTGGGGGGTGCTGCTGAAGATTCAATTCTTATGCCTGACCCACTTCCTTCAGTGACATCATCAAGCCTTTCATTGTCCACAGCAGTACCGGGTTCTCGTCTTATTGGCCGTTCAGGCACAACTGCAGAATCATCTTTGCTTTCAGTGAATAGTAGTGGTTCTGTATCTAGCACATTCAGCTTCTCTTCAACAGAGGATACACCACAACGTGGCCATCTCAGGGCAGGTGGACCATTGGCAAGATTACATGCTCCTCGTTCTAGTTATAACTTTAAGGATGATATGGAGGTATTTTCCCCTCTTGTGGATGTTCAGCCAATTACACCCTCACTTGATAAGCTGTGGGATAATCATGAGGGACTGAAGAAAGATCATCTACCTGTTGATAAGAAGCCCTCATCCCTTTTGTTTCCTTCATCCAGTAGGAGATTCCCTTTTGCAGAGGATGGGGCTAATGATCATCCAATTTTTGATTGGAAATCCAGTTCAACCTCTAAACAGGTTTAGTACTCTTTTGCATTTTGTACTTGATACATGCAATGTGTGATATTTTTTTCTTTCTTCTGGGTGTAAATAGTTAATATCAATCTTGATGTTCATAGAGCTAATTCAGTGTAACATTGATTAGTAATTGACACATACTTTAAGAACACGGCATCTTTTTTCTATCTCTCCTTGATGTTTACTTGCATTTTCCAATATCATACCTCTAAACAGGTTTAGTACTTGTTTGCATTTTGTACTAGATCTGGTGTCATTCATGTTTCTTTATTCACAATTTTGTGCAGGATGACACCAGATCTTCCTTTGCTGAATCAGTGTCTACACCTTCTCCATCTTCCAAGGTTGAAGACTCCTCCATCACACCTCCAGAAGCTTGGGGTGGTGAAAAATTACCTGATAAATTTACCAACCTACGTCTGCCAGCTCGGTTTGGGACATTGACTTCTGGGGGTTTGACATCAGGGTCAGCATATTCTGATCTGTCCTCATCACTTAGTCAGACAAATATGAGCTTATTGACAAGTTCTAACCTGAGCTATGAAAACTTGCGCCCCAAGGATGTCTCTTCAAATCAGGAGCCCTCTTCATTAGGATTTCCAGAAAACTTTTCCTCTAGTACAACATCCTTGTCTCTTGGTGCAAAAGGCTTTGTGGGACCAGCTAACCTTGACTTACCCAGAACAACATCTTTGACTCTACCGCGAAGATTTTCAACCTATGCTGAGAGAATCAGCACTACTTCCGCTTTCAGTGATGGCACATCTCCTATAAGTGGTTCACCAAAAACAAAGAAAACAGGAGCTGAAACCAGGGAAGAAATATTGAGTAGCTTGTTGTCAAGATGTGATACATCAGCTGCAACAGAACCAGGAGCTCTTCCAGCTATAAATGTAAGAACGCAAGTTGGCCAGCATTTGTTTTTGGTTCACATTAGAACAGCTTATTTGCTTTTAGACAAAACTGCTAGCTCTCTGCTTCTATTACGTCATAATGGTCCATTGATTCATTAACAGGGAGGAATCTCACAAACTCTAAAGGCTTCACTGCCAGATCCACAGCAGGGAAGTAATTTTACTCTTCAGCTCTTTCAGCGCACTCTTGAAGAAACTCTTGATTCATTTCAGAAATCCGTACATGAAGATATGAGGAACCTTCATATTGAAATTTTAAGACAATTCCATATGCAGGAGGTATGCATGTGTTTAATACTCTCTCCCTTCAGCTTTCAATAAAACAATTTCTGAGCTATATTTATGGAATATTTAAACAGATGGAAACATCGAGTGTGATGAGCTCAATTCTAGAAAACCAAGCCGAGCTGATGAAAGAAATCAAGTCTCTCAGGAAAGAAAACCAACACCTGCGCCAACTTCTGTGAGCACTGGTGAAGATGCCTTGGTTGGTAGTGTGGTTATTTGTTGAAGGTTTCCATGATTTTACGCTCTTCTTAATTGGTGTTATATTATATATAGTTAACTACGATTGTTTTTCTGGGCAATGTTAGTAGCGCAAGGTTGAAAAAAAGAAAGATTGTTTAAAAAGAATGACAAAAATGCAAAAATATTATTAGAGGTAGGATTTATGAATCTGTACAGATGTTTTTAGCCTAATGAAATGAAGCTTATAATTTGGTGCGCAGCAATATTCAGATTATGTACCATCTCGAGTTCATGGAATGTTATGATGGTTTCATCGATTATATTGTTGAGGCTCTTAATATCACTGGGTTGGTTTTGATTTTTGGGTTTATTGCAACGTCAAATTGAAAAGGATTGGGAGTTGAGGATTTTGATTATTCTCTGTGGATTTTCCCAAACCTTGTTGATAATTATTGACTTCAAATTAAGGTCACATATTAGTCTTTCAAGTTGCAATCAAAATCGACAGTATATAGTTTTATTCATTGATATACCTAGGCAAGTAGTCGTAGCAATGTTATGTTAAAATTCCCATTGGCTAAGTTTCTATGTAGCAAAAATGTAATAAAAATAAATTACAGTTTTCTTGGATTGCTAATTTGTAGTACCAAATACATAATTTGTGGTACTATTCATTTTTGCACTGATTTCAACAACAATGAAAATTTTTTGCTTAACAGAACAGAAAATATGTATGTCAGATGCTCAATGATGCTGACATGAATTCGCCAATATCTTCACCGATGCAGCATTCTAAGATAAGTGAAGTTTCTTTATTTATTTTTTTTGGCCATTCTGCCTTTTCAGTTACAGCATGTTACAGGTATCCAAAGCACGTCAAATTAATGAACTTTGACCGTGACCTTACTTCTTGACTAATTTCAGCACATCACCCACGAGATGTAAGGAGCCAGTTACAAGGACCTAGGAAATTAAATAGAAAATTTGTAATATAATCGCATAAATGCAGAAGTGAGAAAATCAAATCCTGACTACAGAGATTTGGACGTGAATGAGAAGCAGATACCTAAAATTTCACAACTGTTAAAGGTTAGAAAAAATTGCTTTCTTTTTCAAATATATTTCAAAAGAAAACACATTGTTTAGTTTCCCAGGCAGGTCGTAAATTTCAAGAAACAAAACATCTGAAAACCTAAAATTACCTGTAAACGAACGGACTGATTCTTTTGAACACTGTCTCTGAGCCACTTAATAGCCAATGGGAGAGAAGAAAAGACTGCACTGTTTTCACAATTCCTGGCAATCATTTCCGTATCCTCACTAATGTCTTCAGCAACATTATCGGCATTCTTGGCCTCCCCTCCTAGAGAGTCAAAAGTAAAAGTTTTATATATAAAGAGCTGCCTTGAATACAATCCCATTTTTTATGCACTTATGTGAACGTATATCGAAGACAAAAAATTAAAAACTGTATATCAGATTTAGAAAACTTAATTGTCAGGTAATCGAAACTTCTAAAGAATTCCAGCCGTTTACAGAAACAAATTCACTAATTATTTATAGTTACAACATGTAACCTATCAATATGCTGTAATGAAAATTGCATTACACAAATCAAATCAATACCTTTATCACCCTGCAAGAGGTTTTCCCATACTCTTTGAAGAGTAAACTGCCACGACAAATCAACTTGAGACTCAGTCGGTGGTAAGGCATGGGATCCGACCTTGTGATAAACTGATATATTTGGTACAAAGAGTGCCTTCTTAAAATAGACACCTAAAATTTCAAAAAAAAAAAAAACATTAAATATACGATCAACATCAAAGGTTAAATTTTTTGCTCCAAATCACTTCTAATTTCTGTTCCTATGGACTTCCCGAATTTCACACATTGGAAGCTTGAGTCCATTTTCTGATCCATCAATTAAGATCTTGAAAAGACTATCATTATTGGTAATCTAGTTCAACAAAAACTTATAAGAATATATCTAATAAAATGCCATACACTAACCATGACTAGCACACGTTTTCATCAGGCGCGGAAAAAGCAGCTGAGGATCTCGCACTGACATACAATTGAACAACAAAATCTGCAAGGATTTTTCAGCAGCTTCTGTTCAGCATTACTGATATGTAACCCAATCAAGCAATAAATTCAAGAAGTAAAATTCATGATGCAACCAGAAAACCACATGATAAAATACACACCATCACAAGCATGTGTATGCATACATGTACCATTGAGGTAATATAATTTCTGGTCTAATAACAGAGGTAAACATACTTCTACAACAAATCACATATTACTAGGAAGAGCAAAGCTCAACTCATATATTAGCTATTTAACAGAACTTGTAGTTTAGCAATTAAAAGGCATGTGATCCACCATCATTGTAAAAGTAACGTGATTTGCAGTCAAACACCTATGTTGTTTCTAAAATTTGAAGCTGAACACCTATGTTGTTCCTAAATTTTAAAGAATATTTTTCTTTTTGCGCTATTGGAATATCCTTGACTGGATGGCCAAATTGTTGCTCTACCTGTGCAGAGTTTTTCCTGGATCTTCCATAATGGACCTGGTGATTCTGAGCTAATTCATGTGAAGATGGTTGAAAGTCCAAGGCTGGTTGTTGATTGTCCTCCTTAATTGCCAGAGAAAACCATTTTCCACATACTTCCATGCTTTCAGGACTATGAGCTCCATCCAAATAGAATACCAGCTCTCCAGTGGTTTCAATGTTCATAAATCGATCAGGGACAATCTGTGCCCGTCCTTGCAAACTAGCCATTGTAAGCCCTTTGATAAACTGTTCAGGCAGCGGACTCTGCTCCATGTAAATAAATAGAAAAGGGGCAAACAAATCAATATAACAGAAAACAAATATGTAGAGGTAATCTTCAACACAAAGAACTTACCGTCTGTTCCAGGTTGCCGAACTCAAGATGACCAGTCCTCTGAAGCCAAGTAGACGATAGTGCAATGGCAAGACCAGCATTAAAATATTGATGCTCGCCTTCAAGTGCAAGTTTTAAGCCATTCAGCAAGCTTGCATCCAATGGTTGAGCTACTTGAAGGGATACCTGTCATCAGTTTGATTTTTTAAGCACTCCACTAAAGGTTGAAACTTCTAATTGTTTTCTATTTGGCACAAAACAACTTAACCTGCTTCTAACAGGATAACCAAGTACAATACTTGACTGGGTAAAGTGTTCTGATCCACTTTGTTAAGGACCCTGAATAAACGGAGGGGCATCACTGGGTTAAGGCAAGACAACTGATAATATGTAGTTGAAAATACTGTGGTAGCATATATAGCAGGGGCGCCTTTCATTAAATAACAAGCCCAAAGTCTCATCTATAATATTGTATATAACTTAGCCATTCATGAAAGTCCTAAATGAATCCCTCACAAGTCACAACAACATAGGATTGATTAAGAATGCAATTATATTTGTGATTTCAACCACTAGGCAGGTCAGCGAACATCTAAAGAAATGCCATTACCGAATCAGTTGCTGTAAACCATCATAACCAGTAGTTTTGCGTTTATGATCCAAAATAGACAACTCGGTTTAGGGTTAGCATCATAGCATGGTTCATCGAATCAATCTTCAATAATTTGGAGCTGAGTTTTAGGTCATACATATTCCATTTCTCCAGCCAAAAGCAGTATCAAAGAATACTTACATCCAGCTTGGCGGCCGTCTCTTCAAGTACACGCATTGCTTCTTCAGGTTGGGACACAGTAAAGGCAGGAACACCATGCTGTATCAGGAAATGCAAAGCCATATTTACAAAGAAATGCAACACAAAGACTCCACGATTGTGGTATGGGAAAAAACATATTCTATTTGCATGTAAGTTATATGCTTTGAGTATAATTTAAATAAAGAACACCTTAAAAATACCAGCCTTCTCCCCAGCAATTTGTCCCAGTGTATTCCCTGTTGATAGCAGCCAGAAAAAGGAAAATGAATTGAAAATACTGTGGACCCAATTATACTTCTAGTAGGAAGATATTTGTTAGCTTAAAAATTTCAAGAATGATTCTATATATACTTTCATGCCACCATTGAAACATGGTTTCATCTCAGAAGTTACAACTTCAAATATTTCCATTTATCCTTACAACAGCAACAGCTGAAACAGATACAGGACATGATGACCACCAGTGCATATTGACTGAAAGTAAGGAAATATATAACAAACCTAAAATCTCCATGTGGTCATACCCAAGGGCAGTTACACCGCATACTACAGGTGTCCGTACCTGTGAAATTACACAACCATATTAGGAAATTCTAGCAATGATAATGCACCCTAGCACAAAGATTCCCATAGCAGATAAGCATATTTCAAAAGAAAATGTTAGCAGCAGTTACACCGCGTACTACAGGTGTCCGTACCTGTGAAATTACACAACCATATTAGGAAATTCTAGCAATGATAATGCACCCTAGCACAAAGATTCCCATAGCAGATAAGCATATTTCAAAAGAAAATGTTAGCTTCACAGAAAATCTACAACAAAACCATTTAAAATATCAGATTAATGTATAAATTCCATCCCCAGCCAGAACTTAAACATACCACATTTGTTGCATCGAGTTTTCCACCTATTCCAACCTCTAATATAGCGACATCTACCTGCACAGAGATTGTTGTAAATATAATCTTTCTCATTCCTCGTATCAGTACAAATAACATTCAGTACTAGTGAACTGACATGGCGAATAAGTGCGTATAGGTTTTTAAATTAAACATACAAACCTGTTCTTCTGCAAATATCTTGAAGGCAAGTAGGGCAAGAACCGAATAAGTAGGCATTGGGCCTCCTCGTAGCTTTTTCCTGCTAAAAAGATAAAACCACCAGAATAAACGCATTAGCAAACCCATTTTCCCAACGAAAAAAAAAGTGAAATATGAATAACATTTTCATTCAGCAATCAATGTATATTGTAACACATAAAACTTAATCCAAGAATGGAATTTATTATTAATTCCACAATGTCATCATGAAATTTTATAACTCCTAAAGAAGCAGCTATTCTCCACCAAAATGCTAATGCTATAAATACACAAGTAATGTATTCAGATTTAATAACATAACCCCCAAAAAAAAAGCATTAATTAACTAAGTGCAGTTTCCTTTTTCTTTGATGTATGCTGAATGTAATAGCCTAAGTAGCTAATAGCGCTAAAATAAAAAAATCAACATGTGGAGAAACAACCTTTGTCTATCATACACCCACCAAAATATGCCAAAATTTCTCTTCACATATGTCAACACTGCAGCATCCAACGCACACACAAAAATTAACTTGTAACCAAATGTTACATTACATTACACAGAACTTAAATACAAATTAGTCTCTGCTTTGGGGAATCACTAACACTGAACAACATAATCCAATGATTTGTGAACTGAAATGAACCATCAGTCAGAGATGAAATGGAAACAGATAACGAGAGTAATCCAGTTCATCAAAATAACCGAACAATAAATTTCTAGTATAAACTGACAGTCAAAAGTAGAAAATTAGGTACTAGGTCAAAAAAAAACCTGCATCTAGGATACAACTAACCATAATAAAAGAAGATACTACTTAGGGAATGGAAAACTCACCCATCCAAACGAAATCTTTCTCGGACATCGATGAGGTGAGAGATGTGAAAAGCCCAGTCCGGAAGCCACATGTCGCAATATAGATTCTGTAAATGGCATGTGGATCCCTAAGAAGCCCCAAGGCAAGAAGAACAGTCTCAAACATCATTACAAAAAAAAAAAAAAAAAAAAAGTTTCACAATTATAAATTTATTCTCTGATCAACTTCTCCAAGAATTTCAGAAAACAACTAAACAGAGGTAAATCATAAGTAATTAAAAAGAAATCCTCCATCAATGCCTATAAGTCACTAATATAGTCATATTCCTCACTTAACCATTTATGTATCTGATATTCATAACTATAACTAATAGAAAAGAGCGCAAAAAAAGAGTCTAGTTTAGGCTTTCCAATTTAATAATTGTACAAAATTTCGATAAGGATACTCCGTTTCTTATTGCTCTACTAAACTAAATATGAATAAAGCAAGATTTCAAAAAAGATTCATCACTTCAAGAAAGCCAAAATGTTAAGGTTGCTCTCAACTCTTAACCTGTAAACTAAATACCAGTAAACACATTTCTTATTTACACAACACAAAACAATTTCAGAACACGAATCAAAACTAGAAAATACACATAAGCTTCAACTAAAAAAAATAATTGAAGAAGAATTCATTTATACCTTTCCTTTAGTGCCAGCAACATGAATAACACTCATTTTTGAAATTGCTTCCTCTAAGTCCAACATCTACACATATAAAAAAACATCACTATAATTTGAAAAAATGAATTTAAACATACAAATTTACAATCAAATGTTTCACCTGATTACCTTGACATACTCGCGAATGAGATCAAGCGAATAAGATCTGTCGCCTGGTTCAATACGATTGCGTTTTGTGATGAGAGAAGATAAAGCATCCAATGCTTCTTCATACGCTGTCGCTTTTCTATTTTCGTTTCCTAAAACAAAATCACTACTAAGCTTCACTAACAAACTGGCCGAGTTAAATTATGAAGTTAGTGATAGTTTTACCTTCTTCCATTTTAGTTTTACCTTCTTCCATTTCGATTTGAACCTGAATAGAATTTGCTTGCAGTTACCAAACAAAACAAATATGTGAAACGTATATATGTAAGTGCGTATGAATGAAAGGTCGGAAGAAATAAAAAGATTGTGTTGAGCTTGTTGTGATAAAACAGATAGAGAGAGAAAGCGGTGGTTGGTTTTGTAGGAGAAGAAGATGACGGGATGAGGGATGGAGGGCTAAAGTTGAAAGTGAAGGTGAAAGTGTGAGGACTTTTAGAATTAGAAATAAGAATACGACGAAGATGAATTTATAGTGTTTGCATTTTTTAAATTTTGAAAAATTTCAAAGTTCTATAAAACCTAATTTTATTTTTTGAAAATTAATTTATTTTTATTTCAAATATGTATAAAATAGGTTAGGTAAGATTGATTTTATTCGTGAAATGAATTATATATTTATGGGTTTATACTAAAGTTAATTTATATGTAAACTTTGGAAAATTAACTTACAATGTTAACCCTTTATGATGTGTTTGGTTCAGAAAATATTGTATTACTAAAAATGTTATATTAATTTAAAGATAGATTACCTTAAAGATTGCTGGGAATGTTTAAAGAAATGAGTTTGGTTGAATAAATTGGTGGATATGTTGTATTAATATGTTTGGTTGAGAGAAATAAATTGATGGGTATGTTATTTAAATTATTAAATTGTCCTCTTATTCAATATTATTATTTGGATTAAATATAACCCCTCTAAAAAAGAAGATAAATCTACTTAGGGAATGGAAAAACTCACCCATCCAAACGAAATCTTTCTCGGACATCGATGAGGTGAGGAGATGTGAAAAGCCCAGTCGGAAGCCACAATGTCGCAATATAGATCTGTAATGTGCATGTGGATCCCTAAGAGACCCAAGGCAAGAAACAAGTCTCAAACATCATTAACAAAAAAAAAAAAAAAAAAAAAAGGTTTCACAATTATAAATTATTCTCTGACAAACTTCTCAAGAATTTCAGAAAACAACTAAAACAGAGGTAATCATAGTAAATTAAAAAAGAAAAACTCTCAATGCCTAAAGTCACTAATATAGTCATATTCCTCACTAACCATTTAGTATCTGATAATTCATAACTATAACTAATAAAAAGATCCATAGCAGATAAGCATATTTCAAAAGAAAATGTTAGCTTCACAGAAAATCTACAACAAAACCATTTAAAATATCAGATTAATGTATAAATTCCATCCCCAACCAGAACTTAAACATACCACATTTGTTGCATCGAGTTTTCCACCTATTCCAACCTCTAATATAGCGACATCTACCTGCACAGAGATTGTTGTAAATATAATCTTTCTCATTCCTCGTATCAGTACAAATAACATTCAGTACTAGTGAACTGACATGGCGAATAAGTGCGTATAGGTTTTTAAATTAAACATACAAACCTGCTCTTCTGCAAATATCTTGAAGGCAAGTAGGGCAAGGAAACGAAATAAAGTAGGCATTGGTGCCTCCTCGGTAGCTTTTTCCTGCATAAAAAGATAAAACCACCAGAATAAACGCATTAAGCAAACCCATTTTCCCAACGGAAAAAAAAAGTGAAATATGAATAACATTTTCATTCAGCAATCAATATGATATTGTAACACATAAAAACTTAATCCAAGAATGGCATTTATTTATTAATTCCACAATGTCATCATGAAATTTTATAACTCCTAAAGAAGCAGCTATTCTCCACCAAAATGCTAATGCTATAAATACACAAGTAAATGTATTCAGATTTAATAAACATAACCCCCCCAAAAAAAAAAAGCATTAATTTAACTAAGTTGCAGGTTTTCCTTTTTTCATTTTGGATGTATGCTTTGAAATGTAAATAGCCTAAGTAGCTAATAGCGCTAAAAATAAAAAAATCAAACATGTGGAGAAACATACCTTTAGTCTATCATAACACCACCAAAAATATGCCAAAAATTTCTCTTCACATATGTCAACACTGCAGCATCCAACACAAACAGCAACAAATGAACTTGTAACCAAAATGTTACATTACATTACACAGAACTTAAATACAAATTTAGTCTCTGCTTTGGGGAATTACTAATACTGAACAACAATAATCCAATGATTTGTGAACTGAAATGAACCATCAGTTAGAGATGAAATGGATACAGATAACGAGAGTAGTCCAGTTCATCAAAATAACCGAACAATAAATTTCTAGTATAAACTGACAGTCAAGAAGTAGAAAATTAGGTACTAGGTCTAAAAAAAAAAACCTGCATCTAGGATACAACTAACCATAATTAAATGAAGATAAATCTATAGGGAATGGAAAACTCACCATCCAAACGAAACTTTCCGGACATCGATGAGGTGAGGAGATGTGAAAAGCCCAGTCCGGAAGCCACAATGTCGCAATAGATTCTGTAAATGTGCATGGGATCCCTAAGAAGACCCAAGGCAAGAAGAACAATCTCAAACATCATTAACAAAAAAGAAAAAAAAAAAAAAAGGTTTCACAATTATAAATTTATTCTCTGGCACAACTTCTCCAAGAATTTCAGAAAACAACTAAAACAGAGGTAATCATAAGTAAATTAAAAAAGAAAATCTCCATCAATGCCTATAAGTCACTAATATAGTCATATCCTCACTTAACCATTATGTATCTGATAATTAAACTATACTAATAAAAAGCGCAAAAAAAGAGTCTAGTTTAGGCTTTCCAATTTAATAATTGTACAAATTTCGATAAGGATACTCCGTTTCTTATTGCTCTACAAACTAAATATGAATAAAGCAAGATTTCAAAAAAGATTCATCACTTCAAGAAAGCCAAAATGTTAAGGTTGCTCTCAACTCTTAACCTGTAAACTAAATACCAGTAAACACATTTCTATTTACACAACAAAAACAATTTCAGAACACGAATCAAAACTAGAAAATACACATAAGCTTCAACTAAAAAAATAATTGAAGAAGAATTCATTATACCTTTCCTTTGGTGCCAGCAACATGAATAACACTCATTTTTGAAATTGCTTCCTCTAAGTCCAACATCTCACATATAAAAAAACATCACTATAATTTGAAAAATGAATATAAACATACAAATTTACAATCAAATGCTGCACCTGATTACCTTGACATACTCGCGAATGAGATCAAGCGAAAAGATCTGTCGCCTGGTTCAATACGATTGCGTTTTGTGATGAGAGAGAGAAAGCATCCAATGCTTCTTCATACGCTGTCGCTTTTCTATTTTCGTTTCCTAAAACAAAATCACTACTAAGCTTCACTAACAAACTGGCCGAGTTAATTATGAAGTTAGTGATAGTTTTACCTTCTTCCATTTTAGTTTTACCTTCTTCCATTTCGATTTGAACCTGAATAGAATTTGCTTGCAGTTACCAAACAAAACAAATAGTGAAACGTATATATGTAAGTGCGTATGAATGAAAGGTCGGAGAAATAAAAGTTGTGTTGAGCTGTTTGTGATAAAACAGATAAGAGAGAAAGCGGTGGTTGGTTTTGTAGGAGAAGAAGATGACGGGATGAGGGATGGAGGGCTAAAGTTGAAAGTGAAGGTGAAAGTGTGGAGTTTTAGAATTAGAAAAAAAGATACGACGAAGATGAATTTATAGTGTTTGGCATTTTTGAAATTTTGAAAAATTTCAAAGTTCTATAAAACCAATTTTATTTTTTGAAATTAATTATTTTATTTCAAATATGTATAAAATAGTTAGGTAAGATTGATTTTATTCGTGACATGAATTATATATTTATGGGTTTATACTAAAGTAATTTATATGTAAATTTGGAAAGTTAACTTATAGTATTAACCCTTTATGGTGCATTTGGTTCAGGAAATATTGTATATAAAAATGTTATATTAATTTAAAGATAGATTACCTTAAAGTTGTTGGAATGTTTAAGAAATGAGTTTGGTTGAATAAATTGTGGATATGTTGTATTAATATGTTTGGTTGGAGAAATAAATTGATGGGTATGTTATTTAAATATTAAATTGTCCTCTTATTCAATATTATATTTGGATTAAATAAACCCCTACATTCAAAAACTTAGCAAAAACAACCCCATAATACAATTTTGAAAATCAACGAATACATCCCCACCGGCCACCATCCCAACCAGCAGCCGTCGACAACCACCCCTGGCCACTAGCATTTGGTAACCCAACAGCACACGGTCAGCAAGTAATGGCCTCTGTGCACTGCTCTGGCCATTTTCGGCTAGATCGTGAAGATCTGGCTAGAAAACGGCAAATCTAATCTGGGTTTAGTCAATGGTTGTTATAGGTAGATCCGTGATTGGTCGTCAATGACCAGATCAATGGTCGTTAAAGACCATATCGAAAATGGCCAGAATAGATCTCGTCATTTTCGACTAGATCTACAGCCATCTAGCCGTTTTCGGCCATCAATATGGCCAAAACGGCCATATCAGAGACCCCTAGCGACTCCCAACACTTCCGACGGTGGTGGTTTGCAATTTATTTTAAATATAAGGCATTATTATCTAAAAATTTAATTAAATAGGGTCAAATTGTACTGGCAGATTAATGTAAATTATTTTTAAACAAGGGCATTATTGCCTAAAATTTTTATTAATAAGGGTAAATTGTAACAAATTAAGATTATCAGGTAATACTGACAACCAATCGTAGTAATCGAGCATATAAGACGACATTACCTCAATCCAACATTACCTCCAAAAACCACATAAGGGGTTAGCCTAACACTCAGAGGTTTGCTCATTTTCTTAAGTTTTTGGGTTCAAACCTTGGGACCATTTACCACAAAATAATACGGCTTATCTAGTCCTGTGGACTTATAGAGTGTTTAATGGACCCTGAAGATTAATTAAGATGCGTGCAAACTGACTCGGATACCCCCAAATTACAAAAAAATAATAATAATAAAAAAACTTGCGATGTTGATGTATATTATAGCATAACAGCATTATTTTATCTCGTGGATTTCCAAATATTTTATGCTTCAACTTTTGTTTGTTCTTCTTTATTATTGGTAATGGTTTATCTTTTCGAAAGAATAAGAATAAGAAATTGGTGGATATGTTGTATTAATATGTTTGGTTGGAAGAAATAGATTGATGGGTATGTTATTTTAATTATTAAATTGTCCTCTTATTCAATATTATTATTTGGATTAGATATAACCCCTACATTCAAAAACTTAGCAAAAACAACCCCATAATACAATTTTGGAAAATCAACGAATACATCCCCACCGGCCACCATCCCAACCACTGCCAGCCGTTGACAACCACCCCTGGCCACCAGCATTTGGTAACCCAACGGCACACGGTCAGCAAGTAATGGCCTCTATGCACTGCGCTGGCCATTTTCGGCCAGATCGTGACAGATCTGGCTAGAAAACGGCCAAATCTAATTTGGTCGTTTCTGTTGATGGCTGTTAATATAGACCAGATCCGTCGATCTGGTCGTCAATGACCAGATCAATGGTCATTAAAGACCATATCGAAAATGGTCAGAATAAATCTGGTCATTTTCGACTAGATCTACAGCCATCTAGCCATTTTCGACAATCAACATGGCCAAAAACGGCCATATTAGAGACTCCTAGCGACCCCAGTACTTCCGACGGTGGTGGTTTGCAATTTATTTTAAATATAAGGGCATTATTATCCAAAAATTTAATTAAATAGGGGTCAAATTGTACTGGCAGATTAATGTAAATTATTTTTTAAACAAGGGCATTATTGCCTAAAATTTTTATTAATAAAGGGTAAAATTGTAACAAAATTAAGATTATCAGGTAATACTGACAACCAATCGTAGTAATCGAGCAATATAAGACGACATTACCTCAATAATCCAACATTACCTCTAACCAAACACACCATAAGGGGTTAGCCTAACGGTCAATGAGGTTTGCTCATTTTCTTAAGTTTTTGGGTTCAAACCTTGGGACCATTTACCACAATAACAATACAGCTTATCTAGTCCTGTGGACTTATAGAGTGTTTAATGGACCCTGAAGATTAATTAAGATGCGTGCAAACTGACTCGGATACCCCAATTACAAAAAAATAATAATAATAAAAAAACTTGCGATGTTGATGTATATTATAGCATAACAGCATTATTTCATCTCGTGGATTTCCAAATATTTTATGCTTCAACTTTTGTTTGTTCTTCTTTATTATTGGTAATGGTTTATCTTTTCGAAAGAATAAGAATAAGAAATTGGTGGATATGTTGTATTAATATGTTTGGTTGGGAGAAATAGATTGATGGGTATGTTATTTAAATTATTGAATTGTCCTCTTATTCAATATTATTATTTGGATTAAATATAATCCCTACATTCAAAAACTTAGCAAAAACAACCCCATAATACAATTTTGGAAAATCAACGAATACATCCCCACCGGCCACCATCCCAACCACAGCCAGCCGTCGACAACCACCCCTGGCCACCAGCATTTGGTAACCCAACGGCACACGGTCAGCAAGTAATGGCCTCTGTGCATTGCTCTGGCCATTTTCGGCCAGATCGTGACAGATCTGGCTAGAAAACGGCCAAATCTAATCTGGTCGTTTCTATCGATGGTTGTTATAGGCTAGATCAGTCGATCTGGTCGTCAATGACTAGATCAATGGTCGTTAAAGACCATATCGAAAATGGCCAGAATAGATCTGGTCATTTTCGACTAGATCTACAGCCATCTAGCCGTTTTTGGCCATCAATATAGCCAAAAACGGCCATATCAAAGACTCCTAGCGACTCCCAACACTTCCGACGGTGGTGGTTTGCAATTTATTTTAAATATAAGGGCATTATTATCCAAAAATTTAATTAAATAGGGCTCAAATTGTACTGGCAAATTAATGTAAATTATTTTTAAAACAAGGGCATTATTGCCTAAAATTTTTATTAATAAGGGGTAAAATTATAACAAAATTAAGATTACTAGGTAATACTGAAAAATTAAGATTACTAGGTAATACTGACAACCAATCATAGTAATCGAGCAATATAAGACGACATTATCTCAATAATCTAACATTACCTCCAACTAAACACACCATAAGGAGTTAGTTTGATGGTCAATGAGGTTTGCTCATTTTCTTAAGTTTTTGGGTTCAAACCTTGAGACCACTTACCACAATAATAATACGGCTTATCTAGTCCTGTGGACTTATAAAGTATTTAATGGACCCTAAAGATTAATTGAGATGCGTGTAAATTGACTCGGATACCTCAATTACAAAAAAATAAAATAAAATAAAAAATCTTGCGATGTTGATGCATATTATAGCATAACAGCATTATTTTATCTCGTGGATTTCCAAATATTTTATGCTTCAACTTTTGTTTGCTCTTCTTTATTATTGGTATTGGTTTATCTTTTCGAAAGAATAAGAATATAGGTTTATATCTCTAATATTTTATAAAGTTAAAATTGAATAAATAATAATATAAACATAATCAAATCTTCCATGGCAATGAAAAGGAACTTATTTATAATCTTAAGAGCACTTCTTACAGTGGTTGGGTGGCAGTGGTGATTAACAATTTGTTTTAAATATAAGTGCTTTATTATCAAAAAATTTAATTAAATATGGGTCAAATTGTAATGTCAGATTAATGTAAATTATTTTTAAAATAAGGGTATTATTGCCTAAATTTTTTATTAATAAGAGGTAAAATTATAACAAAAATAAGATTATCAAGTAATTTTAAAATACCTAAGAAAATTGAAGTAATCAGAATATCTCATATATTACCCACGGTAACTACTATTGATTTTAGAAAATTACCATAATCTTATATTACTGACAATCAATCGTAGTAATCGAGCATTATAAGACGACATTACCTCCAACCAAACACACCATAAGCAGTTAGCTTGACGGTTAATGAGGTTTGCTCATTTTCTTAAGTTTTTTTATTCAACCCTTGGTACCACTTACCACAATAATAGTATAACTTATCTGGTCTTGTGGACTTATAGAGTGTTTAATGGATCCTGAAGATTAATTAAGATACATGTAAACTGATCTGAACACCCCAATTACAAAAAAAATAAAAAAATAAAAAAACTTGCGATGTCGATGTAGATTATAGCATAACAGCATTATTTTATCTCGTGGATTTCCAAATATTTTACGCTTCAACTTTTGTTTGTTCTTCTTTATTATTGGTAATGGTTTATCTTTTCCAAAGAATAAGAATATAAGTTTATATCTCTAATATTTTATAAAGTTAAAATTGAATAAATAATAATGTAAACATAATCAAATCTTCCATGGCAATGAAAAGGAACTTATTTATAATTTTAAGATAGAATAATTTTCCGTTCTAATTTTCAAGAACAAAATTACTTCTAAAAACAGTAGATACCATTTGGTTCTTACACAAAGTCAAATAGTCAACAAAAAAATAAACAATAAGACAGATATTCTTTATGCCACTTCCCTACGCGCGTATCTAATGGTGTGGCGTCTCAGCCACAGCTGATATATCACCATATGAAAAGCATCGTACGGCTGCGGTTCCTCATTCCATACAAAGTGCAGACCCGCCGTCACACACAATCGTCTGACCTCCTCGTACTTCTCATCCCCACACGTGCGATGCAACACCCTCTTCAGTGAGTTGACCTTGACCCCATCTTTACCTTTATTCCACCCAACAAAAACTGCGATCTCTTGCCACCTCAGCACGTCCAACAGCGGCAGATCTTGAATCGGACGGTCAGTAATCACCACAGGCACGCATCCGAAACGCACCGCATCACTAATCCCGGAAACATCCCCCTCCCCGTACTCGAACAAACAAAACTTACTATGTTCTAACATCTCCTCAAAAGTCAGCTCATCGGACGGTCCAGATTCCACCAAAAAGTCAGGATCATCCCTTAGTTCACTGAGCAAACTTGACTCCTTAACCGCGCCGAATCTAACAAAGCCCAGATGCCGTTTTGTCTTGTTGGTTGGCCCGTTTGACGCATGAGGATCCGCGAGTGGGGGCAAGGTGATATCCTTTTGTGGGACAAACTCGGTTCGTGATGTCGGAAAACACGAGATCTGAACCGAGTTTTTCTTCAACTCGAGGACGTTTCTGTTCGAGTTAAAGCCCAAACCTTCACACGAGATATAAAAATGGTCGGCGCCAAGAGTGCGATTCCAAAACGGGAAGTCGTTTCGGAGGCCAGCGATGACTCGGCCAAGGGAACGCGTGGAGGTATGGGATGAGAAGGGGACGAAGAAGAGGTGGGCTTGTTCTGGGTCTTTAGTGATGAAGGGGCTTTCGAGGAGAGAAGAGAAGAAGAGGGACTCGGGTGTTGTGGAGAAGATTAGTGGTCGGGGAGGGGAGTAAGTGAAAATTTTGAAAGATTTGAGCATGTTTTGGTAATTTGGGAAAAGTGTGGTGGGTGAGAGGTAAGGGGTGGCGGAGAGAAGAGGGAGGGAAAATGAGAGAAAAAAGGAGAGCAAGAGGGAGAAGTGAGTTAGAGACATTTTTGCAGGTGAATGAAGAGAAGTAGAGAGGAGGGAGACTAAATAGAAGCAATGGGAGTGTGTCTGATTGTTAGAGCTTAAAGAAACAGAAAGGTTTTTCGTTTTTCGTTTTCTTTTTTCTTTATTTCTATTGGTAGTTATCAAGCCTTAACTACCTGAACCAATGCTGTTTCCAGTCAATATACGTGTTCCATGCTTATGTTTTTCTCAAGAAAGAATGTTGCAACCGTGTGAATTCAAGGCTAACACTGTGATAAAGAAAGAAAGGAATAGTGATAAGGATGGTACTTAAATTCAACTGCATAATGAACAATCTATGAGGTTTAGATGTTATCTTCTCTTCCTTAAACCAATTTGCATAGTTAAATAACATTTTTAAGTTGTAGTTATGCACTTTTTAAGATGTGTCAACAGTTCAGTAGTTTACTGTCAAGGAATTCCACCTGCTCCTTTCGGCCGGGATATATTTCCAACGATGTCGTCGGAACCTTTGCTTCACTTTATTGGCAAGATGTCAAAGATTAAAGGTAAAAACTAATTGCTAAGTGGATATCGAGGTTGTGTTTACACACTACGGCATGTCGGTCCTTTGAGCCTTTGACGTTATATTGGAAGCAAACTTTTATGGAAAATTCTACACTCACAATTTTTTCTTATAAACTTATTTTCACAACTTTAATATGATAGTTAATAATTAGTCAATTCATAATAGATCTCATTTGATAAATCACAGTTAATTAATTATGAGCTATTACATTGAAATTATGAGAAAAAATTTATGAAAAAAAGTCGTGAGTATAATATTACTCTGCTCAGCTTTTGTTCTGAATGATAGGAGTGTGTTTAATTAGTTAAATATATTCAGGAGCGTTGCTGTTGCTTTTAAGAAATTTAGTTATCCAAAATCTTTCATCAATCGTCCGGCTGGGGTAGTTCCAACACATTTTTCAGATTCAAGCAATTTTGGTCGATATCTTAATGGTGATGCTGCAATTTTTATGTTTAGAATTAGAATCTTTAGATCTCTCATGCTTAGAGCTATATAATACAACTACAATTTTGGTCAATGTCTAATTGTTGATGCTGCAATTTTGTTGTTTAGATCTCTCATATTTGGGGGTATATAATAATACAACTATACAATCAGGGATCTTGAGAGCTTAATAATAGCTTTTCTCCTTTTTTTTTTTTTTTTTTTTCAGCGTGATCAATGTTCACAATCACAATGAAGTCACTGTAGAACTCGTCAACTTGTGGAAAGTAACAGCACCAACAACCATACATGCCTTTTAATTCTTTAATTGATTTAACAAATGGAATATTATTATTATTATTGTTGTTGTTGATGCATGATTTTAACACCAACTAATTACACGTGAGAAATGCTGAGCTGACTCAAAAGACACACATGTATATGAGATATTGGGTTGAATAAGAGATGAAAAACAATGTTTAAACTTTAAAATGGTTCGGATGCTCAAACAAGCAAGTCATTCGTCCACTGATATTGTATTAATATGTGAGATCAGGTCACGTCTAGCGAGCTGATTTATAGTGTAAAAAGTATAAGTGAATACAAGAGAGAGAGAGAGAGAGAATGCTATTACACAATGAAATTAGCTAATTTCACAAACAGGAGAAGAGTCTTCTATTTATAGTGGGATGAATTAAGGTAATGATTACTAAATCTGGGAGTGGGTTAGATTGCCGTGTAAATCCTTTTTTATGACCCGTTGCTCATAGATTTTAAACTTGAAAGTCCGGAGGGTACAATGGAGTGGATTAGTTTTATGCATAAATTGATTTAAATCAATGTAAGTAACAAGTATTAAATATTGTATACATATTTAATTTTTAATCGGGGATGGCATGTCTTTCTCCTAATTCCTATTTCCTGCCTTTATCCAGGCGTCCAATATTACATTTGTTGATGCTTGATTTTGACACCAACGACTTCGCATGTGTAAAGTACTAACAAGTTACATGTGAGTTGATTATAGTGAATAGGTAAGGTATTGTGAGCACAGTAACATGCAAAGACGTAAATATAAAGTTGATAAAATGATTTTGATAGTAGTTCAGATGCTTAAAGAGAATCATACCTCCACTGTGAAATAGAATTTAAGGTGGGTCTGATTCCTCATCCAATAAGACCTTGTTGCATGGGAGGATTACCCTCTCTTATAAATTAGTATGCTTGAGCGTGCCTAGTCAGTGTGAGACTGCAATACTCCCACTTAAAATTCTATCATTGTTTAATATAAATTACTTTCTGATCGCTAGACAAGCTTACAAGAGGTCGCGAGCTGCGACCTAGGATTACAAGTGTTTGGTGTTCTAAGTGTTCTTAGAGAATGTCAAGCCAATCTCTTTCTAGTCGTATATCTTTGCTATTTTCTTTGTTGAATGTGTGAATATCTGATCCTGATTTTATAAGGGGGAGCTACCTTTTTATACCCGTTTAGCTCAAGGTAGTGATTACACTTTTGCAAGTGGCCTGATGTCGTGAAGATCCCTCCTACCTTTCCATTCGTTGAGAACTAAAAAAATATCCTTAAATTAAATAAGGCTTGGATAGGTGTTTGAATCAAATTCACCCAAGCACAAATTCTTGATCAAGTTGGTTTGGGTCTGTGATAGCTATATGCCTTTTACCTGTAGAGATGTGTCATGTTTTGGACTGTGGAATGCTTTCCTAGATTTTGATTGGTGCTTGATGTCGTCAACATATTTCAGCCCTTATTTTAGGCATAATAACATTGCTGTGTGATTAATATTACATAAGTGGGGGCTTACATCATAGCAAATGATTCACCAACAATCAGTAGTAATTTCAAATCTATTTTGCAGCATTTGGTGACCTTCCCCTGCTCACTTGAGAACAATAGGCACTTTTACATACAAAACTTGTCTTCAAAGAACTTCAATCGTGAATAATAAAAATTTTTATTACAATGAAATTGATCAAACTATGCTTTTTTATTCATTACAGTAAAGAAATTTAATAGCACTTCAGTTTTTCAACCAATAATTTGTGCATAAATCTGTTTAATCTTCAGATTCAAAGAGATAATAAGCAACAACTGGGCTCCTCACTTGATGCACCCCATCATCCCAAACCAAAGAACCAGAGCTCCTATTCAACGATTTCGACACCTCTGCTGTAACTGTGACAACAAAGGATTTGGTCTCCCCAACATACTTGAAAGACAGAACACTTGGTTGAACTTGGATCCCTAATCCAGGCTGAGTCACAACAGCTGCCTTGTAAGTGGACACTGGTGATCCAACATTTGTAACATTTCTATGGAAGACGCGAGTAATTTATTGCGTAGAATTGGTTGATACAGCAAAGGAAGGGTAGTTCAAGTCCCACACAGCTCCCGTGTTTGCCGCGGAACAACTGCTATTGTCCCCAGTCACAATCCTTAGAAGTGTAGTATTGTAACCTTGTCCACACAACAATTTAACATAATCAAGCACCCNAAAAAAAAAAAAAAAAACACTCTTGCAAAGATCAATTAAAGATAATAATAATAGGAAAATTAAATCGCCTTAACTTGAGGAATTAGATGGTTTATTTATCAACTTATTTCATACAAAAATTCCAGTGGCGTTACTCAAAAGAGGATAAATTAAAAGTCGCATGCATGATGATACTTTCAACTCATGTTTAAAGTTGTCCAGCAACTGAAGGATCATCTTATCTTAATTATACATATATGTTAATATTTAAAATAATTGTTGTTATGCAAAAATGCAACAACCAGCCGTGCCCAATCGACTTTGTTGAGATTGGATATGATGTGTACATGATTACGAATAACCAGTTAGAACAAATTAGAAAATCCACAACGAAAAATCAAAGAAGGTTTTTAAAGTGGTTTGACGAGTTATAATCAAGTCTACGTTCACTGTTATCTTATTGCTTTTATAATTGGCTTACTATTAGAGTGATTACAGAGGAAAACGCGTAAAAACGAGAATAAACTCTCTCTCTGTCTCTCTAAATGGGTTTTCTGTTTGAGTGTGAATAATCCATCCCCAAAACAGAGGTGGTTTCTCCCTTTTACACACCACTTGACAGTGGTTGGGAGTTGTTATGGAGTGAATTACACGCATAATCCTCCAATCTGAGTCAAACTCCCCATGCTTAAATATGAACATCCATACTTGAGACAGATAATCTTGCTGGAGAAGTAATCTTCTGTGGTAGTGACACAGGCAAGTTTGACCATTAGATCTTGACATGGTGTAGAGGACGGCTGACACGAATTTGATCGTCCAAAAGACTTGCACAATGGAAAATGTCACACCCATAATCTCTTCTCATAAATTTTCTCTTACAACTTTGATGTGGCAGCTCGCAATTTGTCAGCTCATAATAGGTCCTACCTAGATCCCATATAATAAATTATATCTAACCAATTGCGAGTTGTCATGTCGAGATTGTAAGAAAAAATTATGGGCGTAACATTACTCTAATAATAATATCTTAGGGTGCATTTGGTTCAGTATTTATATCCATATTCCCAGTCCTATTCCCCAAATATTGTTTGGCACATTATTCCAGAAATATTACTATATTTTTTAATTACTTTTAGACCCCTTAAGCTTATTAATTTCATTAAATACCCCCCCAAAAAAAGTTCAAAAATTAACAAAAACACCCCCATCAACCCATGCTTGCCTAGGGCTGTAAAAATCCGATTAACCGAACCGGATTCATACATTTTGTAACCGAACCGGTTTTTCGGTTCAAGCCATATGGCAAACCGAAACCGGTCCGGTTTTTTGCATTAACCGGTTTGCAAACCGAACCGAATTTTCGATTTGCAATCCGGTTAACCGGTTTTATTAATAATTTTTTTTTGTCTTTTTTTTTATATGTTATGATAAAAAATTCCTATTTTTGGTTGCCAATTTCAAGAAACCAAATGATCCACAATAATTTAACCAATTAATCACCAATTAATGCTATTGAATTCTTCTCATCTAAGCATAATAACTAATAATCACCAATTACATTATCATAAAATACAAACTGTTCCTTTAAATTTT